ATATTCTGCTGAGTGTCTTAGAGCATGATCTCATTTAATCCTCATGATAGCCCATGGAACCCCTACTGATAACTTTATACTTCCTAATGGAAATCAAAGCTCTGAGATAATAAATAACCTGTCCAGGATCATGTAACTGGTAAGTGTCAGAGTTTGGATTCAAACCCAGCTCTTAATTAAAGCCAATGCCGATAAATATGATAGTATATTTACAGCCACAATTTGCTATAATCTGCCTCCTCACAGCAGAAGAGGGTAGTTTGCTAAGTAAGCATGGCAGTTTTTCAGGGATTTCTACTCAGAGATGTCCACACCCAAGAGCACAGAAAGAGCTTACTTCTTTCTCCCTAGCATTTGAAATCCATAAAAATAAAAATGCAAAGTCTGTGATAGCTTGTAAAAGAGAACCATACTTCATTTATAAAGGCAATGAGGTATTTAGTCAATGTTTTTCTCTTTTTTTCTTGCTTCTTACTGTCAGACTAAAGCCTCCAGAGCCCTAGACCTTGGGTACTATTATATATCATTGTGTGATTGAAAAAGATCTGTTACTAAATAATGGCAGTATTAAAAACATGAAACACTGAGATGCCCTTGATGTAACAGTGGAAAAAAAAAAAAAAAATCAAATACCAATGGTCCCACTAACAAGAGAGAGAGATTTCCAACTCTTAAAGACACTGAAGTTACAAATTTGATTTGAAGCCCAAGTTTTGATGTTTGCTCATTCACTCAGCAGATAAGTTTATTGAGTTAGTATGTGGCTCCGGAAATAAGATCCTAGAGGAGAAAGACAAAGACCCTAGTAACAAGAATATAACATCTTAGTGAATCATATCTTCATTTCCTTAAGTAGGCATATTTAGAAAGAAATTCTTGTGTTTTTTTTAACCCACCGTAAAAGAATTTCTTTGAAAGATAGATAAATCAGTCATACAAAATGTACTGAATTTGGTGTATGACTGGGGAGCTGTATAACAACAGTAATGTTATGTATAATAATTGGCGTGAAAGTGATGCTGTGAGTTAGGGTTTCCTACAGCAGAGGTGTTAATGCACCCAGGCTCATTAAAGGGTTGTGTCAAAGACTGTTGGGTTGCAGTTTCTTTTCACTTGCTTTGTGTCTTATTCAGGCTCCCTTCCCCAGTTATTTTCCATAGCTTTAAAGTGTTCCCTATTATTTTGACCAAATATGCCCTGTGATGGAAAGGACGTGATACTTTCAGCAGAATTACTTAATTAGGTTTAAGTAAGCAGTCTGGGCCAAGTAGGGTAAGTTTGCTTTCTAGCCATAAAAATGTGCCTGCCACGCATGCTGTGTTTCCAAGGAGTGAAACAGTGATTGATGTGATGATAAAACGATGAAGGGAGGGATAAAGCCTGAGAGATAAAAGTCTCAAAAGGGAAATAAAAGAGGGAAGCAGCTGCCCCCATCTTAACTGAAGCATAAATTTCAGGAACAGGATCTGAGGTTTAATTTCAAGCACATATTGGGGGAGAGAGAGAGAGTGTGTGTGTGTACTCTTGTATGTGATGAAAGCCATGTAAGTTAAATTATTTCCATCCTTTTATGAAGAGTTCTCATACCATTTTTAAAGCAGGAAAAATTGCAAAGTTAGAGGTTTATGGATTATCACCGAGAGGTGTTCATTTAGTCAGCATTTGAGACTAACAGAATTAATGAAAGGCAGGAACTTAGGCACTGGTGGTACAGCAGACTTGAAACCATAACTTTCTGCACTCAGGGAGCTCAGTGGTTTCAGTTTATCTCTTTTCTCTGCACATGCTTTTCCAGCTTGTTCCCCTACCCTCTATCAGAATTCTTTTCTTATAGATTACATTATACATTACTTTCATATTTTTATCCAAGATAGCCATGCATGCAAAACACTACAGTCCAGCTCCAAACTCTTTTTGGAGTTTGTCCCACCTCTTTTTTGCATTCACTCCTGTCCTCCAGTATCCAACTTCCATTCTCCAAGCATAACATTTATTTTTACACCATGGTGACTTTGCCATATTTGCCCCTAGAATGCCTTCATACACACTTCCTATCAATTAAAATTCTCCTCACTTTTCGACTGTGTGGCTGAAGTATCTCTTAAGCCTTGAAGACCTTTTAATACTCCTACCAGTTTTAACAATCCTTCATTTCAGTATCTAGAGAATTTTGCTTGAAATGCACCATTAAACTTTTTAGTTCATTTTGCCTGGAGTGAGCCATTTAGTGTCTGCTTTACTTTGTGTGAACTATTTGAGGACAGGGCTGGGAGGATCACTGATTTGTTTCTGGCCACATACTGTTTTACATGTGGTTGAAGTTCAAAGGGCTTCCAGGCAGCTCAGACTGTAAAGAATCTTCCTGCAATGCAGGAGACCTGGGTTCAATCCCTGGGCTGGGATGATCCCCTGGAGAAGGGAATGGCTACCCACTCCAGTATTCTTGCCTGGAGAATTCCATGGACAGAGGAGCCTGGTAGGCTACAGTCTATGGGGTCGAAAAGATTTAGACATGACTGAGTGCCTAACGCTTTCACTTGACATTTAAAACATGCTTGGAGAGTAAGTAAACTTGTAGCAAAAAATATTTAACATTCATATGAGGCTTTTCATGATGGAAACAGCTGCAGCCCTGAATTCTTAAAATTTTATTTTCAGAAGAACTCAGAATAAGAATGGTGGCACAGGTAAGAATGTCCACGCTCTCTGCAGAGAGTAAAGGACACACTTGTCCTAGTCCTACACAGGTTGGACTTAAATGTTTTCCATGAACCACCTTGGAGACTACAAATTCCATTACAGGGGGCACGCTGTTATCAGAAGTGCTTTGCAAAATCTGACCTTTTACAGCCTGTGTTTATAGCTTCATATTGCTTCTCTGTACAAGCATTCAGTAATGTAACCTTGGATTAGGTAAACTTTTACTTTAAAAACGTTTTAAGAAAGAAAAATTCCTTTTAGGCTAAGGAACAGTGCAAATTTTTAAGATTTTTTTTTTTACAAACTTCCAAGAACAGAATTCACAAGCCTTGACATTCTTTTAACTTTATGGAGAAGCTGACATGTATCACCATAAAAAAAAAAAAAAATTCAACCGCCATTCTTACAACAGAGAATGAAAACAAATTTCAAACTAATATAAGTATAAATCCATAATGTAAACAATTTCTGTTCATTTTAAAAGAGTCAACCTTTAACTGGGAAAATATTTGAATTCACTGTCAAATCTTTTATGTCCAGAGGGCCCTTCCAAAGTTTTCATTTTTATATAGAACAGTGGAATTTATTATCTCTGCATATCCTAATCAACAGGACTCACTTTAAATGACTGTGTAAGATAAGTTATGTTTCTTTATGATTCTTAGATCAAAAGTATTGCTGTACACTTTTCGCTATATATTGAAGACTTATTTCAAAAAAATATTAAAGAATAAAAACACTTGTCTCACAAACAGGAAGAGCTCTTTCTTTAATAATTACATTAACACATGATTATTGACCTTAAAATAGCTTTAATTGTATCCCTCCCCTTTGTGTCTTTCTTCTAAGTCTGATGTTTTAACATTCAACCCAGTTTTAATGAAGATATTGAAATAAACATAATTAGGATAAAATTTACTTTGGACTAATAAGCTTAAGAATATGGAAGCCTATCATGAAGTGTTCTTGCTGTCATTTTTTGCAAGCTAACAATGCAATGAAGCATGGAGCTAGTTGAGGTTTATCCCACAAAGGCATCCTGCTTGTTGATGCCTCTTTTATTTACAGGCTTGCAGAACTCTTCCAAATATGGCTAACCCAATTTGCCACAAAACAGGACAAATAGTCACCCCCTAACCCAGTTCATCAAATAAGGATTTGTGCCATGAGTTTGATGATCTGTACTATTTCTAACAAGTTCAAAAGCCATGACTAATTTGAATTTCAGGCTCTCAGGATATCATCTTATAGACAAATAAGTTACTAGGAGATTGAGAAGACATATGTATTAAACTTTAGAAAATCAATTATTTTCAAGCAGTATCAAAGTTCTTATATCCAAATAATTATCTTAGCCTATAATTTATTAACTGAGTTCTATTTGCTTTATTTTCAGAAAACAAAAAAAAAAAGCCGTATTTTTTAAAAAGAAACAAACAAAAACCACCAACTTAAAGAGTTCAAGTTTTCTAAATGATTAAATTTTAAATATATTTTCTGTTTCGATAATTGAACTTAAAGGAAATCTTGATTTGGGATTCATAAAATTTTGATGTAAGAGTTCTGATAGTCTTAAAATCAGAAGATAGGAATAATGTAGTTGCCCCAAGTAATTATTACTAACAGATTTTAATTATATTATAGAGGAGGAAGAGAGTTAAAGAGAAAGATAAGATCTGATAATTGAAAAGAGGCTCCAGAATGAAACAGACAAAAGTCACAGAGACTGCTTGAATATGTGTTAAATTCCAGAAGCCACAATGGACTAGGTCATTATGTTACCATATCAAATAATACTTAGATGGACAGAATTTAGAATGATAAATACTTTCAAAAAATAAAAGGCAAAATAATGGTATACCTTCTAAATTGGAATAACACTGAAGCATATATGTAAGATCATATGCTATGAACTGCAACACTTTCCCTACTTAACCTTCAAAGAGTACAACTGCTTATTCCATTATAGTTCAGAGTAGTTCCTTAAAGAGGAAACTGCCTTAGCTTGCAATTTGGGGCTTTTGCATTAAACTATCATCCATAGTATCTTGTGTCTGCTTTACATGTATCTTAAAATAACTCCTCCCCTCCTCTTGAGAAAAAGGAACTCAATCATTACTATATCCATTCTCCTGAATTCAAGGGAGCACCATTCTTCAACAACCTGTTGAGTGGACTTAGAAAGCAAACAGAGAAGTTATACATTATTCAATACACCTTGGCAGCACTCCAAAGCCCTTAGAAGTGCTTAAACAAATGATAAATGATCAGATGACTCCCTCAAATCTTACCTGGTTTACTCTTTTTAAAAATCCAACCCTTGCTGTCTACCATGCAAAGCTCTTGACCACTGGGTGAAATCCAAACTGGGTAGTAGATCATGATAATTCCAACACGTCATGGGCGGCAGCATCTCTCAGAATCCCACATGTCATCTCCTTGAAACAAACCTGCAACAAACAAGGCATTTTTTTTCATTCTAACTGAAAAATAGGGAACCATGTCCTTGGTCCAGGAGGCATCACTACTTGATCAATAAGGGAATCATAACGGAGTGTATGAGGGGCAATAAATGTCTCTCAAGATGCTGATAAACATTAAAGCCAATAGACTGATATTTATGTGCTACAGAAGGTGTTTTGGCAGAGCGCATGTTCCTCTTCATGTTATTAATAGATCTATTTAAGCTGCAGTGTAAATAAATATTATTGATATTAAAACTCACACATTTTATAGTGTATACCCCTTCTTCTTCATGTAGGTGACCACTTGGAGTACTCAAAAGCATTTTTATGACTCTATTCATAATATTCTCAAGGTAACTGGTAATGAGGCTCAACAGAAAAAAACCCATCAGCAGCTAGAAGAAAATCCACATAATGACCTAGATCAAAGACAGTTACATCTGTGAGTTCTGACATTCCACTTCAATATTCCAACTTAGAAATTAAAACATGTCTGTATGATAGTGTATGAGGAACACCTCTGATGAATATATATAAGGGGCTTCAAATTCAGCAGCCTCCATGATCCAAATCAAGATACAGACCACACCAGACAGTTACCAACACAAACGTGTGGTAGCCAGAGTCTGTATACAAAGGAAAGACCAGAAACCAGGAAAGTAATCAGATAACTAATATTGGGGCAATCTACCACACATTTAATGCTTAGACTATTTATACTCATATGAGTAAATATGGTATTTAATTTTCATAAGCATGTTTAGCTTCCATTCAAGGAGATAAAACTCCATGTATAATCAACACCTCCTGATTGTACGATGGTACGGATACCTGCCACACAAATAACTGTGTTCAGCAGAAATTCAGAAGGATTCTAATGGATAGATTCCTTTAGTGGTCTTCCCAGGGTAGGCTTTAAGAATGACTAGATATTCTTTTAGCTACCACAACCATATTTAGCTATGCATATACAAAAAAAAATTTATTATTATTATATTTTCTAAGTGGTGCAGCAGAAATGGTTGAGAGGTTGTTCTAAGCTGGTAAGGGGCCTCATGTGAATGCTTATGTGTGGCAGATTCATGAACACAGGTGCAAAGGCTGGCTTTAACAAGCCACAGAATGATATATCCTCATGGATTTGTGAATAGAACTTCAACTAGTATTCCCAGAAGTCCATGTGGAAACTTCACTAGAAGACAAAGAGTGAGATATCCTATATTTGTGCCATTTCAGCAAGAATGGTAAGATAGCAAGGGGCTGAAGTCAAACGCATACATAAGAATAAAATGCAACACTTCAAAGTAAGTCCTTAAAAATCAAGACATGTGTACCTGGACACTAAGTGAACACTGTGCAATTCAAATTTCAAGTGTTGTGTTGATGCTATTCATGTCAAACATAAATACCCATACACCCAGATACACACACATACGAATAACAATTGAAATTGCCAAAGCTACTGATCCAAGTTCTGGTATTCATGAAGCTGAAATTTTAGTTAACTTCTGGACATAAATGTTCCTATTCATTCTCTAAATTATTTTACTTTTCTTCTTAGAGCATACTTTAAGAGTTATCAAATCAAGTCTTTTATAAAACAGATCCATTTCCATGAGTAGTAATCTTTTCCTGTCTCTTGGGGGACAAGCAGGGTATTAGAAGAAGTCATATACAGGTAGGCTAAATGTCAGGCAAGTGGAAATTAAACATAATCTTCAAGCTACCAAACTGACTTTGAAGTGAGGGATCTTTGAAAGCTAGTTGGTTTGGAAGGACCCACATGTGACCTAATGTGATTCCTAAAACTTCAGTTCTACCACTTACTATATAAGAGTGAAACTAAGTAAATCAGCATACCTATTTGCTTTCTAAAATGGCTTTATCTCACCACACATAAATGATGTTATTGATCTCTTCTTTGAATGGATAGGTTTTCTGTGTATATTTTAAGTAATGAATGAAAAGATTTTCTACTGACCATTGAACTCTAATTCATTCATTAACCCACTTATTCATTCCACAGATTTTAACTGAGCACCTCAGTTGTGCCTCCTAAGGGATTAGGTACCCAAATACACAATGAGAACACACTTATTCTTCCCATCAAAAATGTACTATTTATTCTATTCTGATTTGCTGACATATACTGGTATCCAGGAGAGGCAGCAACATTAGACTACATTAAAATAATTGGTTTTATTTTATAACCCAGCCACCATATGATCAGACAAAGGGGTTATTAAGTTTGCCAGTGAGCAAACCATTATAGACCAAGGGCTACAGCACAAAACGACTGACTTACCTAGTCAACTTGTCTTCAGTTTATACCGGATGTGATGGTTCTGTGTCTCTCTCAAGCCCACTAACTGAGTGAGTCATGATGATTCAAAAAATCCAACCAACTAGGTTCTGACAGTACATTGACATTTCTGGCATCCAACACAGAGTCAAGTGCCTCCCACATGTATGTATTAGGCATAGCAGTACAATCTTACGTGGTCTATGTCACAAGTCAACAGATTTTGGTGCAGGTACTGTTATACAACAAATTGCTTCACATAATTTTTGTATTATTATTCCATTTATTTTTCTCAAAGAGGATATATAACATTAAATGCATGTATGTTCCTTAAAGAGAAGTTCATGAGATGTTCAAAAGAAACACTAATTTCACAACATTGGTTTGAATTTTCAAGACCAATTTTTAGAGTGAAAAAAAACACACAACTTTTCACTTCTCTCCCTTCAGATGATACTGAATAGGAATATGGAAACAAAAGACACAGATTATACTTCTAAAAATACTCTTTAGGAGTTAAGGAAAACAATAAAGACATTTTAATAAAATCAATATGGCTTCCAAATGGTTCCATTTTCTTCTATTTTCTCTTATTTTTTGGATCTCTGCTTATACTGAAACTAGTCTGAAAACAAGCCTTTTAAAAATAAATGTTATTCTTGGTATTCTTTAAAAATAATTTTGAATGAGAACATTATATCATATGTAATTTATACCTCAATAATGTTGACTTACAATTTTTAAATGCATTTTTGATCATGTTCAAAGAGGTTCTAGATAGGGGTATGAGATACAGAACCTATTGATAAAATACTGTTGTATGTGAATCTAAAATAAAACCAGTCTGCAATAAATTTTTTATAAAGTAGAAGAAATTCAACATTCACAGACCCTACTTTCTTGTTTCTTGGTCTGGCCTTAAGTGATCTGTAATTGAATTTTGTCTTCTTTGTCTTTCTTTATGCATACTACTACTGTCCTTTTAGTTTATCTTACTGCTTGGAAGAAAGCTTTCCCAAGGATCCCTCTAGCACTGAGGCACATATTTCATAAGACATTGATTTGTACTTGTTGATATGATGCTTTTTAAACTTTATCTCAGGGATGCACTTCATGATCCCCATGGGCACGTTGCAAAGCCCTCTGGTAGCCAACAAAACCATAGGAATGCTCAGCATTCTATGAGCTCAGTGCATTTGTTAAATGACTGGTGCATTTTGCAAGCCTTGTATCTAAGTTACTCATTTTCCTGCATAAACCTCAAGAATGCCAACATCAAGAATGGAGGAATAGGTAGGTTATCAGTGATTAAAGTTATGAAGCTTTTGGCCTTACATATTTCAAATCTGTACCCTTTGATCAATGATATTGGAAAAGGAAAGATGCCACTATGTTTTAAGTAACAGATTTATTGCTTCTAGCTTTTTTCTTTTTCTTCATTTAGTCAAATGTAAACATTATAGATTATTTCCCAGCAGGAAGGGGTGGGTAATTAACAAAAATCACTGTTAACTGCTATCTGCTTTATATATAGTTTCTCATTTAATTGTCTCAAAAACCACGTGAAGTAACTATTACAATAATGTCCAATTTATGGTGGTGAAAATAAAGATCAGAGATTTTAAATGATTGCCCCAGGGCATTGAGCTTTTGAAAAAGAGAGGTGGGTGTGCAGTTAATTGATAGTGTGCCAGTTTTAAATTCTTATAAACTGAATTTGAGAGATTTGCTCAATCTACTGATGAAAATCTGAGTTTCTGGGAAATGAAGTGACATCTCAGAGATCATAAGATCATAAAAGGTCTGGATGAACACCCAAACTCATGATGTCCCTGTCTTTCTAATACACCACTCTCTTAGCCAGCTTTCTACACATGGTGTCTAAACAACTTTATAGATCTCCAATTCACTTGTTTTTAAAGAACTATGTTTGGGGTAGGTTTTATTTTAGAAAGAAGATGCCAAAGCCAACAAACAAAATAACAGGATTTCTGAGTACTCAGTTTTAAAGGAGCTTAATTTTCTGAAAGCAACAAATGATATTGTTCTCTCTCTCTCTCTCTCTCTCTCTCTCTCGAGCCAATTTATTTCCCAATGAAAAAAAAATATAGACACCAGTAAAAGAGTGTGTTGATGGATTGTGACAAAGTGTATGATTAGATTGAACTATAAGTAGCACAGTGGTATTTTGCTGATGCCCATTTGGTATGGTTAGTTCTGTTTTTAGTAATTGCATGCTTAAAATAATATTCTAAGATATCCAGTTAATGTTTTTATTTCAGAAGCCCAGCAGGCAGCCTCTTAAGTGACATAAAACAAAATCTAGGGTAATTCAATTTTCATCTGAGAAACCAGTGCCTGATACTCAAATGAAAACAAACAGTTCTTCATGTCTGCTCAAAGACACCTAATTCTGAATTGATCATGACCTAGAAAATGCCAATTAAGATAGTCCACATTCTTCCTTGATTTTTTTTTAAAGGAGGGATTCTATTACACCCCCAAATTCTCCACAAATGAAACGTGTCTCCAGTCTTTTTTATTCCTTCCTGTTCTCACTTTTCTCCATTCCTTCCTTCCCCTCTTCTCCTCTTCCGTTCCTTCACTATCTTTTCCTTTTTTTCTTCCTTACTTCTTTCAATCCTCCCTTTGTTTCCTCCCTCTTTGTCTTTTCAGCTCAACA